GTGGAATGAACTCGGCGCCATTCCTAGCCGCTGCTATCTTAGGCGCTCCGATGTCACTCCCGCTGAATTACTGGATGGGGAGACGAGGTGCTATTGCTGTTGCGGCTGCATTAATCTTTGCGAGCTCTTTGGCTTCTGGATTTGTGCACACATGGCAGGAGCTTCTTGGTGTTAGGATTGTCAACGGCATTGGTGAGTGGAAAATCCCATATTCTGTGTCTCCTAAACAATTCACGTCGCCACAAGGCCATGAGATCCGACTGATACGTTCAATTGACAAATTTCAAGGGATGGGTATCAAAGCCGTCAGCACGCCGATCTTGGCATCTGAGACTGCGATTGATCAATGGAGAGGCTCTTCTATCCTAATGTGGCAACTATGGTAAGTCCCCCTGACCACTTCATTTCGATTAAACACTTCTATTCAGAGAATTTGACGCATTGGTGATATCACACATGGCAGGGTTGCCTTTGGTATCATGTTAGGAAACGCCATCAACTTAATCCTTGCCGGGGCTGTGGGGGCTCTGGATTTTCCACTTGAACCAAAGGACAGTACTGTGCCTCTTGATGTCAAAGGCGACTTGGCGCTTCGATTAATCTTAGCCGCTCCCATGGTCCCGGCCGTTTTCACGCTCATTGCACTAGCATATTGCATGGAGAGCCCGCGATTCTATATGCAGAAGAACACACCAAACTATCGACCCATGCGTGCCTATGAAATCCTGTCTAAAGTCCGGAACACACAGGTTGGTTTCCATGTTATGATACTCCCCCACTGTAATTTACTAAATCAAACATACAAACTAGCTTCAAGCTCTTCGAGATATTTACCTTATCCACATGAACGTTGAATACGAAGAGGCACAGAATCTACCGGAGACGCCTCATGAATCAGGCGTGTCTACGGAGAACCAAAAACAGGGTCTAACATTCGCGAATCACATGTCATTCGCCTTATCAGATGCCTATCGGCAATACAGCCACCTCCTGACTACTCCACGACTGCGAAATGCAGTCTGGAGCACGTGCATAGTGGCTCTCGCACAGCAGCTTTGTGGAAGTAAGATTCTATATCCTTCGATTGGCGTATCAGGATTGAACTAACTAATAATATCCTCAGTCAATGTTTTCGCCTTCTACTCAAGTATGACTAGTCATCTCCCGCATGACGATTTTCGCGGCTCATGCTTACCATGCCAACAGACAATTTCTTCATCAAAGGAGACCCGAGCCCTCGCAACGCCATGCTTTACAGCTTAGGCTTTGGTAAGTCAGACTCTGAGCTCTCTCCGTCACCGGGATCTACCAGTAGTGTACTTATTTGGCATGATAAACAGGTGCCATCAATTTCCTGTTCGGCCTTCTCGCAATTAGGTTAGATTCTCGGTTTTTGTTACCGTTTTGAAGAAGCTCCTTCTGACAAATTTCCAGATCTATTGACGTCTTCGGGAGACGGCGGTGGCTACTCGTCACGCTGCCATTGATGTGCATTCTTTTGGCCGCAGCGGCCATGTCGTTCCTAATTCCTAAGGGACCCGTCCAAATTGGAATCGTCGCGTTGTTCATCTTTTGTGAGACTCCAAGATGGCAGAAACGTTTGTTTGGATGACTAACGCCGTATCAGTGTTTGCAGCTGTGTACTCACCAGGACTTGGTCAGTGACGCGCGTAGCAACTAAGGAGCTAAAGCATCTGTTAACTTCGTGACTACAGGGCCTATCCCCTTCACACTCGCTTCCGAAAGGTAACTGTCTTTTAGATTAACTACAAATATGTCAGATCTCTCATTTGATGGCTAAAGTACTAACACCTTACGCATGAAGTTTTCCCCTCTCTCAGCGTGAGGCTGTAAGTTCTAGATAGATCGATGTCTGCAACGCCCTGCACGAGACTAACGTGATACTCCAGGGATGTTCTGCCGCCATCTCAGTCAATCTTTTCTTTGCGGGTATACTCACGATCGTGTTTCCAGCGGTCAATGACGCGCTGAAGCCGTATGGTACGCTAGCGCTATTCGCTGGACTCAATCTCGTGGCATTTGCTCTGGTCTTTTTGCTCGTCGAGGAAACCAAGCAGGTAAGCCTTGAAGAGCTGAGTCTCATCTATGCGGTGCCAAAGAAGGACTTCGTACGGTTCCAGCTCAGAGAGCATTTGCCATACCTCGTCAAGAGATACCTGACGCGTACTTGGAGTGGCGGTGATCCACCCAACTTTTACACAAAGGTTATTGATGGTTCTTATTCTCACGAGATGGGGCCAATGAGGCGGGATGAATCGACGGGCGAATGACGCGACTGGAATAGAAGGAGGGTTTCTCTTACTCATGGACACATGTGCCATCAACATTTTGGGCCAAGATGATACCAAACTTTTCCTCCCAAGGTAGTGAGGCTTTGAGTGGACACAAGATGGAACCTGGAATGGTGCTGAACTTGCCTACGTATATCAGATGTGCGATTCATGCAAAGTAACGGAACTGGGTAGATAGCTGAGACAAAATGCTTCTGCGTCGATGCGTCGATCACGACGTCATTGAGAAAGGGAAATATCACTTAATACTTTATTTGACGACTTCAACAAGAATGCTTCACGCGTATGTAACCTTGCTTCTCAAAGAAGTGGGCTGATCACTTCGAGCTCTATGAAAGTGTGTTTGTCAGGCCCCCAGTACCGCCAGATCTATCAAGACTGCACGTATCCCATCAGCTGCGAGATGGCATCATTACAAAAGTACGTACTCTCGTGAGGGGTCACAGCGAATCATGTGTCAATCCATTCTTGTTCCCCTTTATCTGCCGATCAAAAAGTCCGTATATGAGCAGAGTTGGAAAGTTTTCTGGATACATTTTTACTAATGCCATATAGCAGTTGTTTGAGTACGTCACGTGCTATACAATGGTTTATTATCACGAATGTAGGCGGGCACGTCTTTGTCGGGCCTCCACGCGTCAGTCAACATACCAGCCGCGAACAGTAGGATCAGCGCCAATCGTGCCCGTGGTGCGTCTCGCCCGGCCGCGCCCCATCACCAGGCCGTACCTGTTACTTCAGTCTGTCATACCTCACGATCCTCCATTGACGCCAAGCGTGCTCTGCATTAACGTCAGTGCTTTACGCCCGGATTCTGAACCGCCAGAGATGTTCTCTAGCATCCCGGGTGGAAGACGAGATGCTGAAACAAGTCTTTCGGGATCTGAACGGGACAAATATTTTTGAGGCTGCCTGAGAGATTCAGCTCCTTTGGACTTCCCGAAACTTCGCGGAAACCATCTGAAGTCGGCAATCTAAGATCGGGCCGCGATGCTTTCGGTCTTCAAAGGCCTCTCAGCTGACAGGCCCTCAGATGGCGGCGTACCGATGGCTGGCTGATCTGTAAATACCCAGCAGAGATCTGGGTTGTGATGTTTTATTGAACAAAAAGACACTTACGATAGATAATACTGTGACAGGTCTCATGTCTGTGCGGGGGTGAGTTCGAGATCAACAAAAGCGGACAACCCGAGAGGCTGGGGCTGAAGCGAGGGTAGCATCCGGAAAGCTTAAGAAATGGGGACAGGGCGCTGTTAGCTCGATGTCGAGATAGGTGCTGTAAGCACATGTGGGAGATGAATGTGGAAGAAAGGCCGGAAATGACCACAATTACTCCAGAGCTCAACCGTCACAAATTTTGAGCTTCTTGTTATTGCTTTCTAACGGTGGTTTTCTGGGGAAGGAATGCAGGGAATCGCGAATGTAACACCGTTAGATTAGGAAATTCCGACTCTCTCTCACGAATCACTCTTTTGGGAACAATCGTGGCCTTTCGTCGCGGGACTGCCACAACGCCACACGCCCCGAACTGGTGTTCCTCGAATGTAGACTAGCCCCGTTCGTGGAAGTCAAAATTGCCAGCTGAGAGAGTGTCTCAGACGCCATGTTCGCATTCCCATCCCACCTGACTCCACACCTTAGCTTCCGTGATGATGTCGACGAGAACAGGATAAGCCCTTGTGACGGCGCTAAGCCCACGAGGATGAGATTCGTCCGGTGCGTACGCTTTTGTAGAGCTGGATCCCTCTAGATCAGACCGCACGGGAGCGATGCGCGAGGCTGTGGACTGCCACGGAAAGGTTTCACATTCACGAACTACACGCCTGCGCGTTCCGTCCAATGACATGGGGAAGTGACAGGTGTCAAATCGTCCACAATGTCTTAACGTTTCGTCTCGTTTGGGAGCTGTCAGGCCAGCCATGAACGTTATCAGAAACCTTGAGATTCTATCCGGCATAGTATTTGACTTTGGTTTTCAAGGATTGAAATGCAACCATAGCCCAGTTGTACACACACAGAAAGTTGCAGCCAGCTAAGAGCTTGCGACCTGCAATATCAGATCATCGTCGATTATTTCCTTGACCTCATCATGAATGAGGGTCCCGTCTTTCCAAACTACGTCGAGGGTGACGTCCTCCCTCCATAGTACGCAGCTTAATGCCCATCAATGACCATGACCGGTGCCGCAACCGAGAAAAGTTCCTACTAGATGCTCTCTGTGGCTGGGGAAGACTAGCAGCCATGTGCGGGTGTGTATACGCTAATTACCGTTAGGTCCATCGACCTCGTTCCGGAGAGGAGTCCAGGCCTCGTAGCTTGGCATACTCACCCGGCGCCATGGGTCGTGTGGCGTCACCGGCGACAACCAGTTCTTGAAGACATAACCGCTTTGGGTTGGGCTTTTCTGTATCATGGAGGTTGCGACGAATGCGGATTTGAGTGTCTGCGCAGCAAACGGGGCACGCTCTCGAGAGCCATGTATCAGTTGCACACCCTCTTGTAAGGAGGGAAGCCTCCGTGAATCGAAAAGTTATAAAGGATGCCACAAGAGAGATCGACATTCATTTCTCGTTATAAGGACAGACGTGTCTTTAAAAAACGGATTCTTCACCTTGAGCTCGGAAGCTTGCAATCACAGAGTTCGCAATCAAAAACCATTTCCCCTGGATTACACATCGTCATCTCACAATGGTGAACACCAAAGTCGGTCGTCAGCTTTCGGGCGATAGCTCGAATGTTGCTGGCACGTTACCAATGCTCAACATTGCCAATACCACGAGGAATAACATTGTAGCTGTGCTCGGGGAGTTTGTCGGAACATTCCTCTTCCTCTTCTTCTCATTCGCCGGTACTCAAGTTGCCAACACGCCTCTTGGAGCACCAGGATCGGACCCCAACCTCCCATCCATTATCTTCATCGCGCTTTCATTCGGAGTCTCCCTAACTGCAAATGTGTGGGCATTTTACAGAGTTACGGGTGGGATGTTCAACCCTGTGGTAAGTGTTGAGATGTCCCAGCTTACCATGTTTGTGTAACTCACGCAAGATCTTCATAGGTGACTCTCGCCCTCACTGTTTGTGGTGGCCTACCGCTACTGAGAGCTCTTCTCATCATGCCCACTCAAATCATAGCCGGATTATGTGCAGCCGGGGTGGCTTCTGCCATGTTTTCTGGTCCCCTCTCCGTGACCACAGGACTGGGTGGTGGCACAAACACAGCTCAGGGCTTCTTCATCGAGGTGATCTTGACCGCTCAGCTGGTGTTTGTCATCTTGATGTTGGCCGTTGAGAAACATCGCTCTACCTTCCTTGCCCCTGTGGGCATTGGTCTGTCATTCTTCCTTGCCGAACTCACAGGTAAGCACGACCCATTCTGTCTTCAGGCTGAGCACAGTAGATACTAACATTACGTTCCTCAGGCGTCTACTTCACTGGCGGTTCCCTCAACCCAGCTCGATCTTTTGGACCCGCTGCTGTTGATGGCATTTTCCCCAGCTATCACTGGATATACTGGCTTGGTCCGATCGTTGGATCTCTGATTGCTTGTGGATTCTACCTTTTATTGCGCAACCTTCGATACTATGAGTGCAACCCTGGTCAGGACGATGATGGCCACGACACGAGCAGCGAGCGCAGCTTCAAACCCTAAGACAAGAACGAAGGCTTCCAGCGAACGATGATCCGTGCCGTAGCACCCCATAACTGCTACAAGTGGCTGATGTCAAATCAAAAACAGGCGCAAAGGGCGTTAGGTGTCGCTATTCAATGTTATTGATGTTAATTTAGTCTTACCGGAAGAAAAACGCGTTCCACAACATTCTGGTTCAGAAAACCCAAGCTTGAAGCCTTAACGTGAGGGGTTGTATACTTAAGCTGCGATCAAAGCCTCCAGGCCACTGAAATCAAATGTGAAATTACAACGATGCCACAGACTTGCAGGGAGCTGGCTGAATATTTGCCCACATATGTTTGTGCTGAAAAGATGCCTTAGATAAATTAGGTTTGTGCCTCATAAGGTCATGATACTCTGAACTGCCGGATAAAGTTGAGTAGGGCATTTTGATTTAAAATAGGTAACGCATCTGGATACCGAAGTTTAAGCCATTTGATACTCGCTGCTGCGGTGGCTCAATGATAAAGACACATGGTGTTGTGATCGAGAAAAACTGACCAGGAAAGTTTTACCTTTATCGGATTGAGGTTCTAGCCACGAGCAGCCCACTTACGATAACTTTCAGGGCCAAGGTGGAAACTCTCCTTGGACTTGACAGAGGTAACAATGTATAGGAGCTTGCCTTTTCCCAGTTTCCAAAAGCAGGTGAACGTGTGCCTCGGAAAGTGCTGAAGATTAAAGCTGTCACCCAGAGAGCGAACTTGAAGCCACATCACCAGCCATTGTCCAAATGCCTCAATTATGCCCAATTTGTGGCGTAATTCGGTCCCAAACCAATCGTTCGTCAATGAATTTGGCAAGGCTCATTTCTGTGGCGAATATTAGCATTGAAGTGGATTAAGTCATAATCACTCGCTGAGAGACGACTGGTCTTGTCGATCTCGACAGTTTCAAGCAGCTCCATGTTACGCAGCAACATGTACGTGGCCACTCACGGGTCAAACCACAATCCAGGGTCCTGTTCCAGAAGGAATTGGTGGAGTCGGACGGCGATCGGGGAAATTCATGTCAGATTCTGTGGCGCAGATTGGATGGCGAACCTGCAGGATGCCGATCAGATAGGGTTGACATACCAGGGTCGACGGGATGGTGTCTTGAAGCACAGGGGTCAGCCGAATCCTTCGCCCCGATGCTGCTGTCAGTAAGGCTTACTGACAGTGGTTATGCCGAATCGAAGAACTTCCACTTGATTTTCACTGCATAATCCTTTCGTTGCTTGCTTTTTGGCGGCTCGATTGAGTTTCGTCGTTTCCTTATGACGGCCCCATTGGCCGGTCACCGATCCGACTCCGATTCGGTCGGTCAAGTCCGCAAAGCTGGGGCCTTGTGGCACATGACTTCTAAGCCATCTCACGAGCGAGATGCACTGCATTCTGTATATGCGACAGTTCTTACCAAACCACACGTGGCTGCGTCACCTGGATTATCCTCAATCATACCTGTATCGTAGACAGTCGAAGCAGTGCAGTGGCGAAAGATGGCCAGGCCCGATTCCTCCGTGCGGCTGTAAGAACGAAAGGGCGAGAGACGCGGTAGTCGTTTATCTGCCATTGACGTTCATTGTCGTTTGCACTGCTCAACCTTGAGCTAGTTGCCCAGATCACACGACTGTGTGCTATCATGGATGTCGACTGCATCACATTGGTGGCCCATGCTTCAGGCACCGAAATTGCGGTCTTCAACCACCAACCGAGCGTGCTCTATTTTTTCAGCAATGGCTATTTGTAGTCATTTGACCGAGAAGCTATGCTGAGGGCATCCGTCGTGGAGTCTACGCCGCCTCTGCCGTAGCTCTTCCCCGACATACCATTGGTTACTTAAAGAGGCAGCCCCTGACCCTAAGTTCTCAACCACCCTCAAGAGCGCCTCGGTCTTCGGCAAAGGACTTGACCCAAAATGGAACTGGCAGCCCCCGGGGGTATGTGAATACTCATGACAAAAAGCTAGTCTCTGCTCTGAGTCAAGGTTTGAGGCCACCGTTCGAGCCGCTTGATAATCGTGCTCTTGAAGCCAGGCTCACGTCAGTCAGGCATCCCACTTAAGACCATTTCATATCAAAGCAAGCAGGTCATTGTATACCATCCTATCTCGATCAATACTATATAAACCTCGCGGAAACATATACGACAGTGCTCAATACTGGATCATTCTGGTAAGTCCCGAAAAGCATACGCACATACCCAAGCTGGTACGGCCCGCTTCCAAGTACGTCAACCAACTCTCTTAGCCTTTAGATTCATCCAAACCCCAATCCCGAGCTCAAACAAAGAATCTGGCTGGCTGCCGCGCTAGCCGACAGATTTGACGCTGTCAGAGCAGACTTACACAATGGCTTTCCCCGCGGGACTCCCAATCCGAAAGTTAGATCACAATTTCAACAATGGTGAGGGAAGTATTTTGTCTTTTGATCAAATGCGGAGCCTGACCATGGAAAATCCTCTCTGGCGAGAGTTCATCAACAATCGCTTAGCGCTCGAACGCCGTTATGAGCAGCTTCTGCACTTGTACGAAGAAAAGTTTTCGTGAGTCGTGTCTCGTCGAGAAATCCGAGTTGCTCTGACGTAAATCATTGCAGGAACTACTTTGGTGGTTTCATGCCAATCCACTACGGGACCTTGACCAGCAGCACCATAGATCCCGAAACTGTGGTTAAAATAATTCTGACGCTTGAAGAACTTTCGATGTCTGAATCTTCAGAATCATCTGAGAGCCCCTTCACAGATGAGTACGATACTCTGAAGAGGTTGGGTTGGGAGGACATACAAGCAAAGCAGCCTTGCTGGGCGCTTCTATCTGATACGTACGCCGCAGCAACAACCGCGTCTACTAGAGCACCAGGAGTAAGAGCTCACTGAGTCCTACCAAATGTTTCAACGTTAACGTATTTTCTAAGCACAAATCTTCACTGAAATATTCAGACTCTCCGAAGCCCTACGGAAGCAACCCTGCCCTGCTTCACATAGATGGTGTCTCTGATGACGAACTTCGTGATCAACTATTCGTCGCCAGAGAAGCGGGATGCATCGGTATTGTTGTTGAGCTTGTGGAAACTCAATTCAATGGGAGAGTCTTGAATCCCAGTCTTCTCAGCCGGCTGGGCGTCATGTGCGCAGAGTACCAATTACTGTTAGCAGTAGATGAAACTCTGACTGCCATACGTTGCGGTGCACCATTTTGCTTCCAACGGGAGGAGTACTTCGATGTTATCTCCCCCGATCTCGTCTTTTTCGGCAAGGCTACTGGCTCTCAAGGAATCGCCATCGGCTTTGATGGGCAATTTGTCAAAAGATTTGGGCTCTTGGGGAGTTCACGCAGTCGAGCTGTTCGTAAGTGGCAAAACAACTTCCAGAAGCCACTGCCGACTGCAGACCTCATTCAGGCCATGACCACAATCGAGATTGCAGTTCAGGGGAACTTTGTGATGTTGAGTAGAATTATCGGACAGGCTATTCGCGACTTTGTCCTCGATCAGGCAGCAGAACGAGGACATGAGGTGACTCCTCCTGAAATTCTTGGAGGGCTAGAGAGCCTAATCTTTGTCAGGAAGGATATTGCTGGAGAGATGCTGGTCATGGGCGCGAAAACGGCTGGTTCGTGGATACCTTGGGTTAAGTGGCTCCCCAGGCTTGAGAAAGATATGACGAGAAGCGAGGTGCTCGAAGAAATCATTGGTAGGAGTAGCAGATCGGCTCGCGAGGAGCTCTCAAATTTATTGACGAAGCGAGGATCTAAGCCGACTTGGTGTTTCTGGTGTGGAAACCGAACCACAGCGAAGAAAGACGATTGGTGTCGAAGGTGTTGCATCGGCAAGTGTGAGGGGGAGGTGTGTGGGCGTCACTTCTTCCGGCATCATTGTGTTTAAGAACAAGTCACCTCAAGAAGTAGGGTTACCTAGGATCACTATGTTCCTCTTCCTTTCTTAAATGATGGAGAAGATCGAACAGAAAGGGGGCATTGGTCTCTGACAAATGAATCTACTTGCTTCTAGTACTTAAAGTGCCTTGGTTAGGCGCACACTGCTCACAGCAATAGGACTTACACCGATAGATGTACTCTCCACATCAGCTCAATTTCAACATGGCCTCACACTCAAGACTAAGCTCATAAGATCTAATAGATCTACTCACCTAACATCCTCGCTTCATCTGCAGAATCGCCAAAAAGGAGAGATTACGATGAAAGGAGGATGGGATGAACAGGTTGTCACAAGCAGTGGAAAGCTTAAAGTGTGTTATGTAAGCAGCGCGAACTCCGATCCAACCCATATCTGATTAGCGAATTGTTCACAATGACGTATGATCTGCCTCAAGGCGTGTCGCATGACCTCGATGTCGATTGCGGGGTTGAAATGACAAACTTGACTAATTACTTCGGTAGCTTTGAACGCTGTCTTTGGTTTTCCCTGAAGAACTCAAGTAATTGGTAGTCTGCCATCTCATGGTGTAGCATCAAACTCTAATTCGGATGCTACGATGCCTTATTCCGACGATCTTCCGCAGACAAGAACCCCTCTGCTGGGCAACAATGGCCAGTCGGAGGCAGCAGCTAGAATAGTATGTTTCCAAAGTCTACTGAATGGAAGCTTTGACAGCTAGATGTTCGTGAGCTAACAATAAGGGACAGCGTTCAACTTCACGCAGTGTTAAAAATCAGAGTAGCAGGGCGGTATCTTTCATCGTCCACATCTTTCGGGGTGGTCTCTTCTCTCCACCAACCTTGACATATGACCCACTACTCTTGCTCCTGAATCATGACGACCAGGACGAAAGAAACAGACTCACTGAGAAATGGAAGGACAACAAGCTGCAAGAGCTTAACTTCGTAGGCGTGGTAGTGAGTTGAGCTCTTGTCTATAGTCCAATGCGCAGTACTACATGTTTTACGGCAGTTGTGACTTGTGGCCACATACGCCGGGCTAACATAGAGACAGTCCGCTCTGCTCGCAAATGTCCTCACATCGACCGGTTCATGGCCGAATCTTCTGCCCCCTGAAACGACCACTCCCTGGCCTGTACGGACCTGCTGGTTCTGCGGTATCGCTTTTGCCCTTGCCAGTGTGTTGACAGCGGCAGACCAGACAATTCGGCTCCATAGAATGGCCGGACATAGGGATGGCTTGGTTCTCATCAGACAGTCTCTGCGCACCCAAGATCGGGTATTGATTGGCACTGAGTGGAAGTACCGCCCACGCAAAATGCAAGTCTACGCCTGGCAGTTGTCAGTTCTGTTCCTGGCAGGCGCGGTTCTCTGCATGATCTCAGGGATGATCTTCTTGGTTTGGAGCGCTGTTGCCGAAGACATCGGCAGAGGAAAGGGTTTCGATGACAACGGCAAGGTCAGAAGGATCAGATTCCTCATAGTTCTTGACGACACTAACAGTCACTAGGTTGCTGTGATATTCACATCATTCGCCCTAATCACAGCCATCATCTTCGCACTGGGTCAAACAACGCTGTACTACCCGGTACCGAAGGGAGGCGACATTGAAGATAGTGACTGAAATTCTTAGAGACCTCTTGCTCTCGGCACTTACCAAAAGGTGCTTAGCTTGGAACTCAAGCAAGTAGACTGATGTCATCCAAGGTCAAGCCTTCGAGCAACGCGATTACTGAGATAAGATTTGATAAATATATTATATATAAACTAAGATTTTAGGGAATAAGGTCATAATTATAAGCCTTCCTCACAAGTACTTTTACGACCACTGTAGTTGAACGTTAAATGTTCGTTATGGTGTCATCTACGTCCCAAGTAAATTCGTGCCCTTCATACCTACTTCAAGCGGCACTCTCCCTCGGTTTCTGTCCCGCAACGGAATGGTAGAACACATACGAATGGATGCCAGTATTGAGTAGATCCTTTCGTACATCAATCAGGAAAATCTCGACCTCAGGAGCAGACCATCCCAGACCTCGTGTGAGTGGCCCCATCGTGACTCCATGTATGCCGTCGTAGAGAACAGCTTTACAGTATGCTCCAATCGTTTTCAGATCTTCTCTCTTTGGCCACTCGCCCACGGGTACCTTTTGAACATCTTGTACTTGATTGATAAAGCCCGCGTCGTCAATACGCTTGGGGTTGACGTCGGCAACGTCTGCTTCGATGCCAAACTTCCCGAGGCCTTCCCAAACAAGCTTCATCATCTTAGTGAGGGCATAGTCAGGGGACATTGTGTCATCGTCGCAATTGAAGTTCCACTTCATCTCCTGGAGTTCGATCCAGCCTCCTGGTTTCAAGGCGCTAGGAAACGTCAGATGATATCGAAGTAAGAGTTGGAGAAAAAGATCAATGATGTAACCATACCGAAACGCTTGGGCAAGGAGTTTCTCCCAGTCTTTGATTGCAGCTCCCATGTTTCGAACATGTACGTAATCAAGAGAGTTTTCTGGGTACAACCATTCGGCTTCAGCATCGTCGACGATGAAAGCAACATTAGCTGGGACATATGGAGGTTGAATAGGGCTGAGATCAATTCCCGTAACCTCTGCTTCCGGATATTCGTCACCCACTGTGAACATTAGTCCTTTCCTTTGCGATTCAGCTTCAGGTAT